CCCCAGCTTTGTCACAGACAAGGGAGAGAGGAAAGAGCAGGCCGGAGAAGAAGAGCCAGGAGGTACCGGCAGGAGAGGAAGGAGGGAGAAAGACAGAGAAGGGCTCCGCTGGCTTTGTTTCCTCCGATTTGTCCGAAGATCAAGACGCACTGCTGGGTTTAAACAATCCTCCAATATGTAATGGATAGCTGGTTAATCACTACTTACAACTCTTGAATCCCTTTTATCATTAAAAAAAAAAAAGAAAAAAAAATCCCATTTGAATGGGGTAATTAGAGTAGCCCCTTAGGACCGAAATTATACCCCATTGCAGCCTCAGCCCGGGCGGCAGGACCCTCAGGAAGGAGATCCTCCGGGGTGGCTGCTCCGGAGGCGTGGCCGAGCCCTCTCCGACCTCTCCGACCTCTCCCTCACCCCGCTCCCCAGCCCAGCCCGCTGGGGTTAATTAAAGCTTCTTTCTCCTGCGGCCACTCACTTGGGGACCCACTTGAATTAAAGCACCTATCAGAATACAAGTCCCAAGGCTGCCCGCCTGTCACAGTTTACAGACCGGTCTCTTTCTACAGAATAGAAGCGATCCTATCCTGGTGCCTTTTAGTCTAAAAACTCTCTTCGGTCCTTTATGGGACATCTTCTGGCAGCCCTGACCACCTCTCATCCGTGAGCCATCAGCTTATCTCCCTGAAACCCTGCCACCTGGCTGCTCGGCCCTGTCTGGGAGGGGAGCTCCCGCAAGCCTGGCCCTGCAAAAAAAAAAAAAAGGAAGGGTGGCTTTTGTCACCATCTTGAGGGCTGAATCCTGTGCCCAGGGGCTGCCCAGACTGAAGGTTGCCAGCAGCCCTGAGTCAAGCTCTCTGTTCAGTTCTTCCTAGGGCGATGCGTAACCGACAAGAACCACCAAACTTCTTTCTGCTGGTTTCTTTACTCTTGTCTTCCTCCCAGCAGCCAGAGCTCACTACCAGCTACAGCTTGGAAGGCTTCAGTTTTCGGGACCAAACTGGCTCAGGTGACAACTGCAGGTCGGTGGGAGTCACTGCTGCTCCCCAGACCTCCCAGCCAGCTCATCCAGGCTTCTAAGGAAGACACAGCTGTAGCACGTGGCGAGGGCTCGACCAGAAACCCCAAACTCCCGGAATTCATTCAGAGCAATCCCAGTTATGTTACATACCTAACTAGCTAAACTAAAAACAGGGTTTTTCTCCTTATATCTGCAGTTGTGAGTACACAATGGCTTGCAAAGAGGCTGAAATGCTATCGATATTGTTGCTTTTAAACTATACAGGTGTTATTCTTAATTCACGATGCTCCGAAGCAGGGAAGTGCTTTGAAGTTGCAGGGATGAAGATTTTCAGCGTTAAGGTTTGATTCGTACCTAGTGATCAGTATGTCTCTCTTAACAGTAGCGATTAAAAAAAAAACCACCTACAACTTGTGAATTCTGCATTAGAATTCAAGCTCGCTGTTTGACTTCTGAATTCAGTGCACTGTGCCACAAGCCAGACTGCTCTGTGTTATGTACAATTGATGTATATGCGCGGAGAAAGAAATTACTAGCACTATTGAAGAGATTGCAAAATTGCCACAGTTACTGCTTAGAAATACTAATTTCCCTCTCTTCTTTCTTAAAGTATATATTACAGCTCTTCCATAACTTAATGCAAACTAAGTAAACTCTTTCTTCTCACATCTTAATGCAAAGATATCTTTGTTTACATGCGCGAATAATAATTCTATAATAATACCCTGGCTCTATGAGCCAAGTTCTTTATATTAGGACATAATAATGAAAGAATGATATAGAAAGAGCCAGAGAGACCTACACACTGGCACTGACACAAAATCCATTTGGGAGTTTTCTCTTATAAAAGGTTATCTAAGATAGAGAACAGGACCGAGGGGTGAAATGACTCAAAAGTGGGATTCTGTTCGTTAGGGGGAAAAAAAAGACATTCTATTGCAAGATACAGATCAAAGGTTAAAAGGCAAATTATACTACATTTAGAGCATAAAAATGTAGTAATTCTCTCCCATACGGCCCAACTGCAGGCGTGATAGCAACACACTCTGCATTGGCCATAGGAAAAAACATCATGGAAAAACCACTGACTAAAAGTGACTGAAAAAACCCCCTTTCCCTTTTTCAGTCTATCATTTGGCATCTCTGAATGTGGTCCAGATTTAGACTGGAGCCACCCAAGAACATCTTGCCGTCTATGTCAAGTGCTCGACAATGCCTCTCAGTAGGACGCTGCTGCAAGGCTAGCTAATTTTAAGTCTGGTATGAGTAATACAGTCAAACCTAGTTAGTATGCGAGAAAGTCGTTGCGAACGCAGAGTGAGAGGATGTGATGTCACAGCACGAGCAGCCCCTGGTTGTCCCGTAGTCGGATAAACGTAGTGCATAGATCCAAGTTTCTATTCCAGGCCTCCGCGGCCCAGAGCCAGGCCCTTCACTTCTGCTGGGTGGCCTGGAAGGCCTTCAGCTCCACCTGGTACCACTCAGGCGCTTCCGGCCCGCTCTTCCCCGGGGGGCTGTGGTCGTAGCCATAGGCCACGGTGAGCTCCTCGTCGGCCTCCACTGCTCGGAGTGTGCGGATGCATTTGATGGGCCCAAAACGGGGGTGGACAAACCTAGACAGCAAGACGTGCACAGTCATTCCTGGGCAGGGCCGAGGCAGAGGCTGGGGTGTGGGCTGATGTGGGAACCCTCCACGTGCTCTCCCCTGACACCAAACGGAGGTCCCCAACATGTGGTCCCCAGCCAGCATCAGCTTCACCCAGGAGGGGCTAACGGGACTCTCAGCCCTCCGACACCTGCTGGATTGGCATCTGCATTTTAACGACACCCCCGGGTGACTCATAGCCAGGTGAAGGTTTCGGAAGCACCGCCCTACCTTCCTTTCTGAGCATATTTGGCACTCGGTCTTTATAAACCCGAAATCACGGACAACAAAGTCTGTCCTTAACGGGAAATCGAGTCCAGTGCAGCCCGCCCGCATTTCAGCTCCCTTGTCCTGCCTGTAGCATCGGATTACCTGGCTGTCCCTGGGGGAGGGGCAGGGGCAGGGGCAGCTTTACCAGGGCACTTGGGAGCTGTAAGAAAGAGCCTGTGGATTCTCAAAAGCAAAAAACTCTGTATTCCGCCCTATACAGATAGAGGACATATTCTTTTCTAGCAAAAACGTAGAAGAAGATTTCTCTCCAAAAGGTAAGTCTAGACCTCTCTGCAACCTGTGTTAACATTTCCCTGCGGAGCCTCCTGTGAAGGGAGCAGCCTCCATCCTGGACGGAGTTCCCTCAGGACTCGCTATATCACGTTTCTCTACCAAAGGCTCCCAGCCCGGCTCACCTGCCCAGCTCTCTTCAGGAGGCCAGGAAATAAATCAGTAATGGACTCCCCTAACAGCTGCCCAGGCCCAAAATGGGTGTGTGTGAGGCACAGCCGGAAGGAAATGAGCTTTGTTTTTATATGTGTCGGGTAAAAAGTCTCGCGCATTTACTGTCGCATTTTGAACAAAGGATATTGAGACATGGAAGCAGAAGGTTCCAGGCCTAAAGTTAGATGGCCACATGGGGCATGATTACGTCCTTGGCTGGTTCCCTCTATCGGTGGTGGGAAAGGGTGTGTCTGTGGCTTAGGGACACCTTTCGTGTGGTGTTAAAACAATGTCAACCTCCTTTGTGGGGTTCTCTGTGTTCACCCTACTCAGGGGTCATGTTTCCTGAAAAGCACACTGAGCTGGGGTCAGACAACTTTAATGTGAGCCCCTGGATAGCTTAGCTCATATCTCTGAATCTCACTTTCCTCATCTGCAAAATCATAATACTAGTTATCCTTATCTGACAAGAGTGGTTATTGTGACAAAATAGGGTCACATATATAAAGCACCTCACACAGTGCTTGGCACAAAGTGAGGACTCACTACGGTGAGTGCGTTCACGTGTGTGAGCACGTGCATGTGCACTGAATTCTCAGGTTAAGCTCCATCACAGAGCAGATCCTTGGATCAGGGATTCAGGAATTCCTTATTAAAATCACAACTCTTTGTCTCAAATTAAAATATTTCATTAAAAGAATAATACTCTGGCCCGGCCGGGCGTGGTTCAACGGTTGAGCGTCGACCTGGGATCCAGGCGATCGGGGTTCGATTCCCGGTCAGGGCACATGCCCAGGTTGCGGGCTCACAGCCAATCAATGACTCTGTCATCATTGATGTTTCTCTCTCTCTCCTCCCTTCCTCTCTCTGAAATCAATAAAGATATATTAAAAATAAAAATAAAAATAAAAAAATAAACATTCTTTAAAAAAAAAAAATTCTCTGACATGGAGCTCTAGTTAATTTTTTGGTGCACAAAAAAAAATCCTGTAAAAAGCCTATGACTTCTCTTACAGTCCTCTTGTATTTTCATTTTCCTACTCTTTATCATTGCTCTCAGAGTGGAAAACGGACAGACTGAAAAGAACGAACTCAACTCAACTTCAGGTGTTGGTTCTTCAAGGCAGTACCTAAAACACAACGGTGAAGAACACTTGACGGTGAGGCCCGCGGTTTCTGCCCGCGCTCTGCGACAGTCACTGGGGTGGCCGCACACAGACCCTGGGAGGACCTCACCCTAGAGCAAGTGTGCAGTAAACACGAGCTGCACAACACGAGCTGCACAACACGAGCTGCGCAACGCGGCTTGGACCCCTCTCGACATGCTACCTGTATTCACAGCTAGGAAAGGAGTTCCTGATGGTCTGTTGGGCATTTTGTACCAGACTACAGCTTACAGAGGCGTTGTTTTGTTTGTGTTGCGTGTGCATAATAATGCCAATGATATGAGAAAGAAATGAATGCCATAAATCGGTATCTGACTTTCATATTGGATTGTTCTTCAGGTAGTCTTCCCATTGCCCCGAATAACTAATTGGTCACATTGGGCTTGAAAAAATAACCCTGAGGAGTATAGGGACTTGGTTTTGTCTTGTGTTCTGTTCCCTCTTCTTTTTGGTGAGAAAAATCGTCCTTGCTGTGAAATCACAGAATTGATTTGCTTTAAAACAGCGGTCTAAGTAGCATTTATTATCGTTGTTACCACTGCTTTAAAGGGTTGTTGCTAAGCTGTGTGCAGCTTGGAACGATGCTTTGGCCTAATTCACACTGGCCACGAAAGCCTTGGAGTTAATAAGAGTGTCAGTTTCATTTCACATGACACACATCCATTGCCATTTCCACCCGCCCTTTAAGCAGAAGTTGGAGCTTCAGTACTTGTTACTGACTGCCAAGGAGAGCAAGTCACTGCCAGAACAATCTTTAAGCCGTCTCAGGGGTGCAAGAAGGGACAGTTAAGTCCTGGCAATTTTCCTGTAGATTAAATGCACATGATCTGATCCCGCTTATGTTAACCAGCTGGAGGACCGAGGGACTGACTTCAAGCTACAGCTGAGCAGGAAAGGATGCTTGCGGCTCCCTGGCTCCCGGGAAGAACTGGCATTCTCAGCCTGGGCCAAGGACAGCAATGAAAACAGTACAAAGAATCCCAACTGTACCCTTTAAGGAACAGTTAGAGATACTTGAGTTTGGGAAGAGAACATTCAGGGGGCACATAATACCTACTTGTAGGGCTACTGTGTAGAAGAGAGATTGACATAGTGCACCAGAAAGAAAGGGAGACAATTAGGGCCAAGGGCCGGATGTTACAGGGAAACCCATTTGGGCTCAATTACAAAAACAAAACCAAAAGAGCTCTGGCCGGGTAGCTCAGCTGGTTAGAGCACTGTCCCGATAAGCCAAGGTTGGGGCTTGACCCCTAGTCAGGACACAGACAAGGATCAACCAGAACGCATAAGTGAAACAATGAATTCATGCTTGTTTTCTCTCTCCTCTCTCTCCTCTCTCTCCCTCTCTCTCTCTAAAATCAATCAATAAAAAAAATTTAAAAAAAATTTGGAGCGCCCAAAAGCTAATTTCAGAATATCTGTCTGTCCTGACAGCCACCTCTGTGGTTAACAGTAACCTCCCCATCCACAGAGGTTTCCAAGAAGAGGTCCAAAGAGCAGTTGGAAGAGGGGACTCAAGCCCTGAGAGGAGCGTAGGATTATTTGATTTAAAAAAAAGAAAAAAGGGTTTGTTGAGATATAATTCACATATCATAAAATTCATCCATTTAAGTATACAATGCAGTAGTTTTCGTGGTACAACCGTCACCACTATCAAAAACTTAAAACCTGACCTTCGAAATAACTCCCATATTCAGTAGCCATCAACCCCCATTTCTCCCCACTCCCCCCGCTCCGGGCAGCCACTGATCTGCACTCTGTCTCTAGGAATTTGGCTATACCGGACAATTCAAATAAATGGTCTTTTGTGACCAGCTTCTTGTACTTGGCATAATGTTTTCTAGGCTCATCCATGTTGTGGCATTTGTCAATATTTCATTCCTCTTATTGTCAAACAATAGGGGCTCTTTGATTTTATAGGTCTTTACAACCCTGAGACCTCGCGCCCTAACCTTGGGAGTTTGCCCCCCTTCCTTCCACACCATAAAAGCACTCCCTAACCTCCATTAGGCAGAGTGATTTCAATTTTTACTATTATCTCAAATGACACTATCCTTAATTTTCCAGAATGAAACAACTGAAGGTCAAAAAAGCCACAATAAAACAGCAACCACTAACTACAGTATTTCCATAGCATTCCAACTCTCCAAAGTACTTTCCATTTCTCAGCCTGCCCAGGCCAAAGAATAGTATTGTTTACATTTTGAGTTCAAGTCATAACCAGGAGGCCCCGGCCAGGGGACCCTTCCTTGGGTATTCTGAGGGAGCAGCCTCCTCTGGGGCCGGACGACACCTCTGACATGCCCTCCTCTGTCTCAGGGCCCTGAGGCACAGGGTGGCCCAGCAGCTGGGTGTCTTACTTACATGTCATAGATGCAGTTTGGAGTGAAGGAGTGATTTGCCTTGTGTCCCAAGGAGGCACAGTACTTGGACACATGGTTGTAGGGCTCAGGCACGTCGATGACCGTTTCTTCGTCAAGGGAGAGGGTGTTCCCGTTGAGGGCCCAGTCCCTGCTGTCCACCTGCAAAAACCAAGCAAGTGGGCATTAGAGAGGCCCTTTCTCCCCAAAGCTCAGAGGATGTCAGAGATATGAACTCACGTGTCCTGAAACTTCATGGTTTGAGTGCCACAAACATGAAAAGAGCCTAAGGCATCCATCCCTCTGCTGCTGCTGGTGCAAAAGGCATATGTGGCCATCACCAGGGAGCTCAACTTATTATTTATTGACTTTTCCTTATCTTACATGAGAAAAAAGGGTTAAAAGTCCCTTAAAGGCTCACAAAAATATAACCAGATGTCCCTAGGTTGTTTGTTCCTTCACTGCACACTGAAACCTGTTACCTCAAAAGCCCATGAGCATCAAACTCAAATTTTTATACATCTGTTTGTTTTTTAAGTAGCTCAAAGAAAGCACATTTTTAGTCACTTGAAGCCTACTTTCAAGGGGACTCCCCCTCCCCCTACCATGAGCTTAAGTCCCATACCCTGAATCCAAGTCAGACCAGGGTGGAGAATACAAGCTGTGCTAAAAGTATTAAACATGTTGCCTTTAGGAAGATACTTACAGAAGTTAACTGTGCAGTGAAGAAAAAAGGACAGACAATATGAAATCTGGGAAATATATCAAAAATTGTGTCTTAAAGGCATGAGGTGATTCAACTCTTTAAGTTTTTATTTTAAATTTTTTTTGGGGGGGAAACAATAGAACCCTCCCTGGCTAGATGTAGGCGATTGTATGGCTTTTGAACAAACAGAAGTAGGGGGTCTTTTTACAAAGCACCCTGCCCAAGGCTGGAAATTAGGTATTGACAGAGTCCAATTGGATCTTGATTTTTCAGACACTGGGTACAGTCCAGTACGAAGCAATTACTGTCTCATTGATGGCACCATCCCACTTTCTGTGACATAGTTGTGGAACTTAAAAAAGTAATTTTAAGGCTCAAAATAAGGAGGAAAATATTTGCTGTATCTGAAAGTTTGTGTTGTCTGCACAAAATTCATATGTTGAAACTTAATCCCCAATAGGATGGTATTAGGAGGTAATTAGGTCTTGGGGGCAGGCAGAGCCCTCCTGAATGGTTCCCTTATAAAAGAGACCCCAGAGAGCTCTGTCGTCCCTCCTGCCGTGTGAGGTTACGGAAAAAAGAGGGCCATCTATGAACCAGAAAGCAGCTCTCAGCAGACACCGAACCTGCTCACACCTTGCTCTTGGACTTCGGAGTCTCCAGAACTCAGAGAAATAAATGTACGTTGTTGATAAGCCAACCAGACTATGGTATTTTTGCTACAGCAGTCCAAAGACTGCCATAAGGCAATATCCAATCAATTTTTACAAAAAAGCCTGTTTGTTCCTTTATACTTCTAGTGAATACTACTATAGCAGAGGGACTAATGACAAAATTACGGGTGTTTGAAACAAAGCCCTTTAACCAATCAAGTCGATTTTTCCCGCTTCTACCCCACTCACCTCTTGGTGTGTAATGCGGACTCCATTATAAAAAGACATAACAGTGTTAGGTTCCACTGCGACCTTTGAGAACAGCCCTTCTCCAGCACTGGAAATGAGAGAGTCGGCAACATAAACCCTAAAGAGCAGAAAGAGTCAAATAATGATTCTTTAAGTGCGATATGTCTTTGACGGACTCCTTACACCAACCTTCAAAATATAATCATGGCTACTGAACCCAAAATGTCAGTTCATAATAGTCCAATAAGGAAGGGAGGGAGGGAGAGTG